CAGGGCCAAGTGAACACAGAGGCAGAGATTGGAGTTAAGTGGCCAGAAACCAAGTACTAGGAGAGAGACATGTGTCTGATCCTCCCTTAGATCTCCCAGAAGGAAACAACCCTGCCAAGGTCTTGATATTGGCAATGATTCAGGGACTCTGGGTGCTAAACTATGAAAGAATAAGTTTCTGCTATTTTAAGTCACCAGTTCATGGTAATCTGTCGTGGCAACCCTAGGAAACTAATATACAGTGCTGATAATGACTTAAAATTGCTGTATTTCAAGTGTTGTATCATCCAACTCTCTCCATTCTAGATATAGGAAACTGGAGTTAAAAGATACAGGATGTGTCATCTAAGGGCCTAAGCTAAGATAGGAGATGAAGGAGGGACTAAAACTGGAGCATCATGGGGTAGGCACAGCATTGAGAATGCAGACCTCAGCTACGGATCTGGGTTGGGACCCAGAACCTGTGCCTCACAAGCTTCCAGGTGATTCCAGCCTTGATGGACACTCACCTGAGCAGCAGATCCAGATTCAGGATTCTGGCTCTGAGATCCAGTTCCGCTACTGCCTCACCGTGGAGCCTGGCAGTGAGGGGCTTAATTGCTTCACTTTTCAGGTCTGAGTAAACTGGGCATGGTCATATCCACCCACCTCAAATTAAATGAGGTACACGGAGGATACAAGGCTTTGCAGTCTAAAGTGGGATGCCCACGGGGGGTTTTCAGGGCCATTTTTCTTTCTCTGACTCTCCGTGTCATTCACATAAAGGCAGCCTAGACCCATGATTAAGAACAAAACACAGACCGTAGAGCCAGACTGATGTTGGGTCGAATCCCAACTCAGCCGCCTCAAAAGCCTCGGTTGCCACAATGTGTAAAATGAATCTATTTTCTATATATGGCCATTTTGAGGATTCAGTGAGATAAGACATGTAATAGGCTAACACAGTGCCCCTCCTCACATCATTAGTCCTCAATAAATACCATATAACTAGAATGTTGATGAATTTAGTTATGCATCTATTTATCATTATTAGTGAGATTATGAAATTACAGACACTCTTATATAAGCCCTAAAGACAGCAAGCACACGTGAAGATAAACAGTGTCAGGGTAAGTGAAGTAACTTATGTCTGACCTTTCCACAGCTCCTCTCAAGGAGCTGCCCAGGAAGGAGGTCCAAGCTCCTGACCCTTGCCCTAGAAGGGGAGGTAGAGAATTACAATACAAATAAGTGGGTGCTCAAATACAGCACAGAGGGGGCACCTAATCCAATGTGGAGGCTGGAAGCGGGGAAGGCTTGCTGGAGGAGTCTGCCTGGGCTAAGCCACAAAGGAGAAGGCAGGGGAACCAGCTGGGGAGGCTTCCTGGAAATGAAGCCTAACACCTTCCTGCATTTTCAAGAATGAGGGGGAGTCTACCCCACGGAGAAGGCAGAGTGCTAATCTCACCAAGGCTGTTGTTTCTCTTGCAGAAACCCCATTCAAGCAATAAATTTCAGAAACGATATCTGACCTCCCTGGTTATCAGGGAATTACAGATTAAAATAACAAGATGTCGTACCCACCAGGTTGGCAAGAAAAAGAAAGAAAAGATCTGACATTACCAAGTATTGGCAAGAGTGTGATGCCAGAGGAAACTGCCTCCAGGGCTGGTGGGAGTGTAAATTGGCATGACCACTTGGTAGACTCCTTGGCAACACCTGGTAGATTTGGGGAGATGCCCAATCTATAACCCAACTGCTTTGTAGCATGACAGATTCCCTGCAGGAACTGGCAAAATGTGTCAGCTAGTTTCTGCTACATAACAAATAGCCTAGAATGCCGCATCTTAAAGGACATATATGTAACTCACATTTCTATGGGTAGCTGGACAGTTGTTCTGGTCTGGCCCAGACTAACTGCCTCTGCTGGACTTTTCCACGTAGGACTGGTCAAATGGAGGGTTGACCAGCTGTGTGGTGCAGGATGGGTTCAATCACATCTGTGATCTGATGACTGTTGTCTGGGGTGATTATAGCAAAGTCATGATTAGCCTTTTTACCTGGTATGGCTGATGCCCCTAGTGAATGTCCCTAACAGATGGATGCTGCAATCTCACATGATGTACTGCAGGATGAACTGATAACATGGGTAGGGAAAAGCCTTAGAGACTTAATTCTTTTTCTTTTTAATGGTGACAGTCTTGATGAAATATTCACATAACATACAACTCAGCCACTTGATCCTAAATATATTCAGAGTAATGAAATCATCACCACAATCAAGCTAGAGCATATTCAGCCACACCCAAAAAAAATTCCATGGGGATCCTTTAACCATCAATCGCATAAGTCCCTGAGTTCTAAGGAACCACCAAACTATTTTCTGTCTCTAGAGATTTGCTTATTCTGGACACCTCTATGAATAGAATAATATAATATTTGCCTTTCTGTGATTGATTCCTTTCTGGTAGTCACACATGGCCCTTAGCTAGTAGCTGTATCTCTCCAATCTCTGCCTCTCTCTGCTTTTAAGGACACAGGTATCTGGATAGGGCCCACCCTAAATCCAGGGTGATTCCTGTCTAGATCTGTAACAAATGATCTGCAAAGACCCCATTTTCAAGAAAGGTCACCTTCTGAGTTTCCCAATAGACATGGATCAAGATGGAGGGGGAGGGCAGGACACACTATTCAACCATCTACAGGGGTAAGGGAGGTGGGGTCCTCTGGGACTTGGCTCCATGGTTCCTCTACACAGATGCCTCTCAGCACCCCGGTCTCAGCCCTAACATTGCTGACATTGCTGCCCAGTGTCAGGAGACAAATGTCTCCCCAGCACCTGGGATTACACTAAGCCTCCAATGCAAGTACTGTAAAAATAAGTTAATTAAGAATAAATCTCATTGCCTTTACAACTTTCAAATTGGTGGCTGTCTACAACAATTGAGTGTATGAAGACAATTATTTCTAAAAGTTCTTGTAATTTCCCAGATGTTGTGGCTTCTCTTCGGAGCAGCAGCCCTGGGCAGCTTTGAGGAGCAAGATACCAAGTCCCGTCAAGGGAGTGTTGAGTATGCTTCTCTCTTGCTGAGGGCTGCCCCAGAGTTGGCATGGTGATGTGCTGACAGTGGGCCCAGAAATGTGTGGTCCCATCAGACTGTGTGCTCTGGAAGGGCAGAGACCATGTCTGATTCCTTTGTGCCCACATAGAAGTCTCCAGCACACAGTGCTTGCTCAGTTGTCTTTGGTCAGCTTTCCCATAAAAGGACCCTGAGACGAAGGGTCGTGAACATGTCATTTATTAAGCAAATGTCATGGGGACCCCATTAAAGAGTAGGAGAGGCAGCTAGAGAAGATGAGGGTGGGGGGCGGCAAGCAGAGCCAGGGCTGGGGAGCAGAGTGGGGCACTCAGGGTGCAAAATACGTGGCTGTTTCTGCATGAGCCTGTAAGGAAGGGTCTCCTTTTAACCCTGGCCCCGCTTGCCTCACCCACCTCACCCTCTAAGCAAGAAGGTGATCGTGACCACACCCCTCAAAGGGCAGCTTCCACCTGACTGTGAGGGAGCCTGGAGTGTAGGTTGTACTTCATTGTCTCCTGGTCCAGGGCCAGGGACCAGGGCTTTTTGTTTCTCTGACTCCACTCCTCAGTCACTGCCTAAAGGTGCCCTGGGATTGAGGAACCTGTCAATTCCCCAGGACAGTCCTAAAATGAGCCCTCGGTGTTGGCTGCTGGAAGGATAGGCATGTCTAAGGAGGGGGCATAGGATGCTAGAAGGGAGAAGATGGTGTAGGGCACAGAAACAGTAAGACGGGATCTGGGCTGGGCACTGGTGACATAACTCTTGGGTGTGCGTTGAGTAAATGACTGAAAGAAGGAAGAAACTTGTGAGGGGATTAACAATTGAACAAATAAATGAATGCTTTGAAAGCTGAGAATGCCCTTAAAAATCCTGTCCTTCACCCAACTCCCAGCCCCTCCCACTCAGCCTGTGGACTACACAGAACGTTAATGTTTATTGACTGTTTGGTGGCAAGCATCGTGGCAGACTTTCTTGTAGCAACGTCCATCACTTCTTATGAGGGCACTTCCCATCACCAGCAGATACAGAGAAAGCCCCGTGCTGCTAGTGGCTAACAGAGCAGCAAAAAAAGAGAGAGGAGCTTGTCCCTCCCTTCCCCCAGGAGCAGACCCTGAGACAGGGGAAGGAGATCAAGAATGAAGTCACTGGCTTATCAGTGCCCTCACTGGAGGGGTCTTGCCCTCCAAGCCCTCCATCCTGCCTATTAACTAGGGTTCCTGAAAGCGGCCCAGCATATTGTATCACCATTTAAATCCCATCACATCTCCCTGCTGACTCTCATTACATTCCAAAATATTTATTCATTTGATGGCGCAGAATAATTGCCTTGGTCCCCAGCCTCTGTGACTGGCAATGAAAAGCAGGAGATAATTTCCATCCTTTCCTGGCTCCCCTGCCGCTAGGGGAGAAGTGGTAGTGCCGTCAGTCCTGGGAACAACATGAGACTCTGCCCAGCCCTAGTACCACTTTCACCCCCGTACCACTTTTCCCGCCCACACTCTAATTTTCTATCACAGGCATCATCATTTTCTTAGCAACCCAAGCTTAAGACTCAGGTCATCTATCAATGCATGCAATCATTAACAGAACACTTACTTTTGGGCTATGGTTTGTACTAAGCCCCAATCCTACCCTGTAGTCATGTGTATGAGTATGTAGTTGTATGGCCATGAGTATGTGCACAGTGTGCAGCATTGCACTAGATCTAAATAAATGTTTGTTAAATGGTCAAATGGATAGATGGATAGAGGAATGGATGGGTGGGTGCATGAATGAATAGACAGATGGATGGTTGGGTAGGTAGATGGGTGGTCAGATGAACAGATTGGGAGGGAAGGAGAGAGGGATGGATGAAGGGAGGTAAGGAGGGGGAGAAAGAATGATGGACTCTGTTGGTGATGCCTCTTGAGTGTCATGTACTCTTTCCTTGTGATTCCATAGGGCTGAACTTGATCCTGCACCTTCTCCACCCTGGCTGTGTCCTAGGTCTAGCTAATCAGACTATTCCGAACTTCTGACCACAGAAATGGATTTCAGACAGCACATGGAGCACGAGTCAGATCAGAGCCCTTCCTGAGACTTTTTGGTTGGCACCAACAGTAGACTATCTCTTTTCCTTAGGTTGCCAAGCTGCTAGGATGTTTATTTAAGGCTTCTGGAGACTTTTACTTGCCACAAGAAGAAAGCCCGCCAAGTATAGGTAGATGAGAGGTGTGAGAAGGGAAAAAGAGAGGAAGAGGAAGACAGCCACGTGGGGATATAATTTAAGCCTCCCCCAGCTCCAGTGTGGGAAGCTGAACTCTTGGACTTTGCAGTACATGAACCAATGAATGCACTTTCTTGACTTAAGAAAGTTTGAGGGCCTCCCCAGTGGCGCAGCGGTTGAGTGCTGGGTTGCGAAGCTGCCTGCAGCCTTTGCAGCACCGGTTCAATCCCCGGCCACCGGGCGAGGGTCCCACATGGCGCGCAGACCTCTCCTGCCGCCCGCTGCTCCCCTCAGCAGTGTACTTCATCTGTCTGCCTGTTCTGCTCTCTGCTCTGGCTCTGGTGAATTCTCTCACCCTCCCGACTTCTGACTGTACCCAGTGCTTGTATTAAATAAATAAATAAATCTTAAAAAAAAAAAAAAAAGAAAGTTTGAGGTGTATTTCTTTTACCTGTAACCATGGAATCTTGCCAGTGGTTACTTGTCAGTAGCCAAAATAATCTTGTCAAGGTAGAATGAACTGGTGAATAAATGAGAGAATTCATGATTGAGTGAATGTAAATATTAAACTAGTCAATATTTTTTCCTCCCTTGAGAGGTAGACCTGCAAATATAGGGTTTTAATTAGATGTTCCTGGTGTCCACTCGAGCCTATCTGATTGTCTCTACTATGTCTGGTATTGACTCTAACTCTGGGATTGTAAATGAAAAGTGACTAGGAGAAAACAGCCCGCTGAAATTAATGAATTTCTGGAGCAGACATTCAACTCTGGTCATAGATTCCAGACTCTTAGAGATATCGAAAAGGAAGCCTGAAACTAGTACAAAGAACATTTAAAATTCTCCCAGTGACTTCTCCCCTACCCTCCCTGTTCCCTTGAGAACAAAGCAGTGAGAGCAGTAGCCATGTAAATCTGATCTGATCATACACACATCTCCTCCTGACCCTCTTCCCTTATCTTTCAGGATCTTCTTTCCATCCAGAACTTTTCAAGGGCTCCTCAATGATTGACAGCAAGCACTGCCTGGGGGTTCATAGGATGCTTTTCAGATGAGGGGGTGCTTGAGCTGCATTCTGTGGACTGGGAAGTATCCAAGTCCAAGAGGTGGGTAAGAGCTCTAGACATGGAATGGTAAATTCAGGGCAGGTACAGGAAATAGGAGTGGCCAGAGAGGAAGTTGGCGACTCTGCAGAAACTACTTCATAAACCTTATTATAAATCCAGAATTTGTGTGTTTCCTTAATCATTGAATTGTAATGTCCAGAACAGGGCATTTCTCTAATTGCTTCATGTGATTGCTCCTGAGTATGGTATTTCTTGCTCCTGAGGTTCTTTTAAACACTTGCAAGCCTCCACGGAAGATCAACTTAGGGTCTTTTAAATAGGGTGGGGTCCCCACTGTGAATTTGTATCAAGAACCTCAAATGATATAGATGCTCACTAAAATTTGCAAACTGCCCCTACAGTTGATAGGAATTTATGCCCATGTATGTTTTCCTCCAATTCAAGTGCTCCTTCTGTCTCATGCTCTAAGTTTTTGCAGGCACACAGCCTCTGCTCTCCCAGAGGACTCCAGATCACCTCCTCCTCACCCTACAACTCTTTTTGCTTATTAAAAACTCACCCTGGACTACTAGTCCTCACCCAAGGATCATTATTCAGTTGCTTACCTCCTATACCTGGGAACATAGGAATACATCAATTTGTAAATGCAGGAAAAGTACAGGGCTCCGAGTAATTGCCTATGCATCTTTGTGAAAGCAAAAGCTGCCTGGGCATTTGGAAGGCAGCCCTTGCCTGTTTTAAAGAAATAGCATTCCAAATGGCAACCAATAGACCAGCATGCGTACAGCACTTAGCATCCGGGAGCCCTTATTCGCCCTCATCTTTTTACAATTCAGTAAGCTCAGTGTTCTAAGCTTATACAACTCAGTATTCTCACTCCCTTCCTCCTTTTTTTAAGATGAGGCAATGGATAGTGAAATTGGCTATGAGGCATGAAAAAACATAAATAGCTAAGCCTGCATTCGAAGTCAGCTTTGTGGAAGGAAGAGGTTGCTTTGAATTCCAGATCTCATTTAGGTCATGACAGAGTGAATATCTGACCTCTTTTTTCAAGGCAAGCACGAATTTTAGCCACACAGTGCTATTAAAAAAAGCCAAACAAACAACAACAAAAATCCAGTCACCTGAGAGACATTACAGAAGGCATTCCAGCAGGAGCCAGCAGGCTACTAGAAAAATTATGTAAAGGAGCGCCTGCTCAGGGGGTGGGCACCCTTACAAATTTTGAGGTCCCTTCCCCATCTGGTGGTTTCTGAAGAGCTGGTGTCTAAACTCACACTTAGAACACCAGTGCTCATAGAGGGGAGGTGAGAGATGAAGGAGCCTCTTTTCTGTCTGCTTAATGACTAATTCAGCATTTTTCAATCACTGGACTATTCCACAGGTGTGGGGCAAAACTTTCATCATTATGTAAAATTGTTTTTGTTTTAGTGGAGAAAAAATGCCATTCCATATTGTCTGCCAGATGAAAAACTGAGTGGTGGCAGGATGGAGAGCAGAGCTGGGCCCTCCTCCCTCTGCTCTCCAAGGACACATTCAATGTAAACCTGAATTTTGTGAATGACAAGTGTTGTGGTATAAACCATATCAATTAAACTTATATTCTGTATGCAAAATCTGAAATCAGGCACAGTCTCCTAGATTGAGAAAGATGCAATGAAGGGTCATTTCCAAACTGGAGAGGCATTGGGATGAACTGTGTACAAGGCTGATGCCATTGAGTCGTAGTTACAGCTTTTTAGCAGGTCAACTAAAGGACCCATTATCCTTGATCAGGACCTATCTTGCATCATGGGGCCTCTTCCAGAACCCACTCCCTTGTGTTTCGCTGATAAGTACTAAGGAGCAAAGGGCAACTTCAAGCCAATTCCAACAGTCATTGTCATTGTCTAGAACCTAGAAGGACTTGGCCTCAAGAGCAGCACAGTCCATAGAAATACGAGTGAATGACTTGCATGATTTTAGCTTTTCTAGCAGGCAGATGAAAAGAAGTAATAAGGAACAGGCAAAGTTAATTTTAATAACATTTGTTATTGAACCCAATAGATATATCCAGGCTATTATTTCAACGTGTGATCAATAGGAAAAATTATTTTTAAATATTATACACACTTTTTACTAAGATTTCAAATATGTGTTTTACAGTTAGGGTGTCTCTCAATGTAGGATGGCCACACTTCAAATGCTCAATAGCCTCACAGGGCTAGCTGTGGCTGCAGTGGCCCACATAGAGGTCAGGGGATTAAAATGCTTACTTGGTAAAGGCGCTTGGTAAGGAGAGTGTGGGGAGGCCTGGCTCATTCCAGAAAATGGGGTGATAACTGCCTCCTTTATTTTTTTATTTTTTTTAAAGAATACTTATTTATGCATACAAGAACTGGGATGTAAGCCAGAGGTGGGGGGCGGGGGGGGGGGAGAGGGGGTTGTGAGAGGATTCACCAGAGACAGGTGGGGAGCAGAACAAGCAGATCTACTGAGGTGAGCAGTGGGCAAGGCAGGAGAGGTCTGCTGTACCATGTGGGGATCAAACTCATGCTACGGTGGCTGGTGATAGCTTGGCTGGTGATAGCTTAATAGCACTGTCTTTAACCTCTGTGCCACCATAATTGCCTCCTTTAATAATGCTCTAGAATGTTCTTCCACTCTGGCAAAAGCTGTCCCATAACACTGCCCCCTGTATCTTATGGTGTTGACTTGGGATCTTTCCAAGCAGTCTGCCCTAAACTCCAGTATTCAAAGATAACTTCTCACACAAGAAGACTGCCTGTATTGGACAACCCAGAGTCAGTTAACCAACTTTTCTGATTAAACTCCCCATTTGTAGAATGGTGATAGAAACTACCAGGAAGATAAAATGAGGCATCCGATGTTGAATGCTATAATTCATGATATGAGTGGTTAAAGTGACACTCTTCAGGGCCTAGTGGCACAGGCTTAAAGTCTCAGTGCTAACAAGTGGATTTCAGTAGATCCACCTATTCTGCTCCCTACTTTGTCTCTGATGAATCCTCTCACCCCCTCCACCTCCACACCTCTGGCCTACACCCCAGTTCTTGTATGCATCTGTAAATAAAATAAATCTTTTTAAAAAATTACATTCTTCAGCCATATCCCTGTGAGGATGTCTGTATGTATGATTTTATATTCCATTTTACCTTCAAAGCAGGAATTTGAACTTAAAGCAAAAAGCAACCTAAACCAACTAACTAAAATGCACTACATATGACTGTTGAATCTCCATTGACTTAAATCCAAATTTTCTAAGTTTAACTGAGAAGTGACTCAATCTCCAGACAATAGCTATGTCCCCCACCTCCCAAACTACCCCCCAAACTACTACCACCACCACACTAAAACAAACAGAAACCCAGTGAGTCACTTCTAACTGGTCCGATGGTTTCTCTGGTCCTTCCAGTTTGCCACCTGGCCCTAACCACAGAGCCCAGTCCAGATTCCCTACCCCCATCAGAGGGAACCACTAAGGGAGGAAAAAAATGCATGTGTCTCAGAGGGAGTCATCAGCCAAATCATCATTTTTTTATGAAAATAGAACTCATGAGTTTATTTTACAGAATGTGCAAAAAAGAATAATTTCAAGGAACTTCCAAGCTGCCAGCACAGGGCAGTCTGTCCCCAATCAATTACCACAACATGTGTAGGTGCCCTGATTGAATATTTGCTTAAAGGAAATTGTCCAAAGTGAGAATATATTCAACAGCCTATTCCACTCTTTTCTGCTCAGAATCAGATTATTTCCCCCTCAATTGAATGATAGACTATTATCATGGGCCTGGGAAAAGATTTGAGGCTACTAAATGTGGATGTCAAACAATATTTCACTCTATGCAATTTAATGAAGAGCAATCAGAATAGCTATTTTCCATCTCCTTGGCTTAAACAACCAAAGGCATATCTTAAGGACTAGTCTACTATGCTCCAGTGGAAAATGCCATAGACTTTGGAGTGGGGTAGACCTTGTTCCTATCCTACTTTTGCTCCTTACACTGTATCTTAGTTTTTCCATCAGTAAAATAGAGATAATCATGGCAGTCCAACTAGATGTACAAAGTTGTTACAGGGCAGGGTGAGGGGCACCCCAGGACCCCAAGCCTGCCTAATTTAACTAGGTTCTGCCATCCACTGCATCAAGACAAAGGGAAAAGGGAAATAATAAAGTTTCCAAATCAAGCACCCAAAGTTACTCATCTCCTCGTGGGTAAATGCCCAAACAGGCTTGGCCCAAAGCAGGACCTCTGAGGCCCAAAAGTCTGCTCCAAGTCTAAAACACCTTCTGGTGGGGACC